ACCGTTGTAAGATTCATAGGCTAGATCAGGGTGCGGATGTTTTTGGGGCATTCAAGAAGCTCACTTCGCTTTGTGCCCTTTACCCATCATCCTGTTTTCTCCGCCCAAGCAGCTGTGTTCCCCTTGCCAATTGTCATGTAGTTCTGACCACAAGGCCCCAACAAATGATCCAACAGTTTGGGAGCCCTAAACTCAAACCCTAAACCCCAAGCCCACTCATGCTTGCTAAGATCGGCCTTGAGCCCCTGCCATCAGAACCAATTCCCTTCACCCCAGATCACCCCAGATCATAAGTCCTGCTTCCTGTAGCCCAGACCCGTGGTTAATAAACCCCCTCCCCTTAAATAGGGATTGTAATAGGGACCCTAATTTTGAGGACCTCAAAAGGAGGCGGTTTATTAATCAGGGGTCTACATCATGCCTAGTCTCAGGTTACTACATCCGCCCGGGCCAGAAGGACAAGTTTCTGATTTACATGGAGGGCGGTGGCTGGTGCCGCGGTTGCTATCGAAATCACGTGCCTAGAGCCCTCAATGGCCTCGGAGTCGGCTTGGACAGGCCTACCATAAGATGCGGCAAGTAAGGACACTTTGAAGAAAACGCATCTGGCCAGTTTCATGGCTAACCATCCCGGAGATCCTTGAGCTATGAGGTTGAAACCCACGGCAGGATCCCAGGGCAGCCAAGGGGAGGCTGCTACATCAAGCTTCAACATTTCTTACATGGTCGTCTGAATCATACGCAAACGCAATTCGAAAGACCTGCGCTTGCAAAACCCACCCAAACTCTCTAGCCGACGGCATATTCAGATCGCTGCATTCGATGTATCCAAATCCCTTGTTAGCCCTATAGAACCTATACCCTGTATGGCTCTTGAGCTGCAAGCCTGAACCCAGACCCTGACTCGCGGATCTAGGTGCTACGACCAGAACTGCAAAGCCCCAAGCGCCGATGGCACTCTCAAGGACTTTGCAGCAGAATGCGGTATATGCCAGCCTGAAGATTAGCTAGCACCGCTTGCTCTTACTTACTAGTTGTTAGCAGGGGATGGGGAATACAATCCGTATGTAGTCCATTTATGATATATTTACTTATTCCCTACTAACCTCCCAGTAAGCTTATCTTTCACAAGCGAGCACTGGAAGTTCAACTGGCCACAAGAAAATCTCCAATGGAGGCACTTGTCTTCTGGACAACATAGCACATACCAAAGTCTGCGGAATGGGAATTCTATGTCGACTTATGGATGCCTCTATAGCACACGACTTTGTGGTTCAGGGTAGTCATATCCAGTAATAACTGTACCTACGCCCCAATCATAGCCCAGAAAACACCCGAATATGGTTATAAGTTGGTCATGAGTACCGTTCATAAGTTATAGTTGCCCCGAACCCTCTATACCCCTAAGTGCAACTTATTATACTTCAGTTAACCTTGCCTTGAACCTCCAAGTAGACAAGCCTAAGGCCAGGGTGACAGGCCTTTTTCCCCCGCAATGAGGAGCAAAGGGAGAATGAAGTGCAAACTTGGGTCCTGCAGTGGTTATGTAGGAATTACCCACCCAGCCGTTGAAAACCCCCCCCCACCTGCTGCTGACAAAAACACATTGCATTTCAGAATGAAAGACGGACAGTACATCGGGCCTATCCGTTTCCTCAATTTCCCCCCTCCCTAGGGTTTATAAATCCCCTAGACCCTACAGTCCACCTTGAGTAGATCGAATATGGGGTATATGGGGATCGCACTATAATATTGGGCAATTCCGTGCTCGATCTACTGTAGCGGGATTCTATAAGTAGATCGAATACGGAATTGCCCAATATTATTATGAGATCCCCGTATACCCCATATTCTATGTACTAAAGGTGGACTTCATGGTTTAGAGGATTCTGCATCCGCTGACGGTGATTGCCCACGGCGCAATCAACAGGATTGTCAGGGAGGTTTGAACCTTAATCTCTGGAAACCCTAAGCCACTCCTTCACTGCGATGCTCTTCCCACTGAACCAAGCCCCCTAAGCCTTAAACCCCAGATCCTGAACCCTCAGCCTCCGCTAGCCCCAAAACTGTGAACTCAAAATTCCAAATTTTACATCCTACCTCAATTCCCCCTTAAATTCCCCAAAAGAATCCCTGAGGACTGTTGGAGGCGCTCCAAGGGCCACCTGGGATCCAGCCTTCAGGCTTTATTTAGGATTTTCGGAAATGGGGGGTTCCCAAAATTAGGGGTACCAGTTTGGGGGTTCCCAAAAAACTGTAATAGTTTGGAGGTTTGTGTTTGGGTACCCCTCTTTTGGGAGACTGCCAAATGGCGGGGGCGGCTTGGATTAGAAGGGGGTTAACCTCATTACGGGCTTCATGTAGTTCCCCCTATCAGAGAACCCTTGCCAACAAACAGCTCCAAAAAGAATCCCTGGACCTTCCTGAAACTCATAGTTTGGCACATACAGTATCCGCGAGCCCCGTGCCCTAAACCCAACCCCAAAACCCTGCCATGGGGGCATGCAGAGTCACACGTTGCGAGCCCCATGCGCCAAACGAATTATCATATTTGGAGGTATTTTTCTTCGGGCTTGGATGCCCGGGGGCGGGGGGGGGTGGGAGGGGGTTTACAGGGAGATCTGGGTCCAGCACGTATTCAGTTCAGCCAGCATGGTTCCTTTCTTTGGGGGGGGAGCATGAACTGCACGCATGTCAACTGATGTTGGAGGCATCTCCTCCCATGCGAGCGCTACAACGAAAATCATTCAAAAGCAGAGAGAAAAAGATCTAGCATTTTGTGGCTACTGCAACAGGCCAGAATATCGCCCTTAAATGCACGATTCAAGCGGCCTTTGATTCCCAATGGTTTCAGGATGTTGCTTCATGACGGTGACCGCCAGGAACCAACCAAGTGGAACCTGAAACTCTGATCCTGAATCCCAAAGCCTGAACCTAACCCTGCCCTCCTTACAGGCTTGAAACCTTCTCTATCCTAGAAACTAATGGACAAGCTGAAGAACTGCAATATCATTCAAGTATAGTCTTTCCTTAAATGCAGTATAGCATGCCCGGCAGCTGGTTCTAGCTACAGAGGCCCTGCAGGAAACACCGAGCCGTGAAAGCCTTCCTGTACCCGCTAGTTAGAGACTTAGCAAGTATACTTCTAAACCGTGTAAGCCATGTTATGGTGACCCCAATCATCCCCTGGATCATCCTACTTACAAAGTCCCCATAGCTCCCCAAGTAAAGCTTGAAAGCCTTCCACATAATCGTGATTAGCAGAAAATAGCGGAATATAGCCCTACATAATGTATTTCTTTTGCCCTACCCTAAACCCTATAATATATTCCCTCATATTCTCTACTAACCACCACTGGGTCAATTCAGGCAAAAGTTGGCCTGCCGCCAAGCCAAAGGATTACCTCTCTGGCATTCTGAGTGATGATGCGACACTCGGCGGTAGTAGTGGACTGTTATGGGGCCCTTTGTTTAGGGTTCAGGGTTTGGGTTTTAGGGGGGTTATATTTCTGGAGTCTTATAGGGGTGATTAAGGGCGATACGATGAGTTTAGACTAGAGGCCACGTGGCCCCCGGTGCTGTGTAAGCTCTCAGGAAGGAGAACCCCGTCTTCAGCAACTGGACGGTCGTGTACATTCCCTACTGCGATGGCGCTAGCTTCACTGGCAACACCGTGGTCGATGGCCTCCCGGACTAAGGCTAAGAGGGCTCAGGCGATTAGGCTTTAGCGTTTGATTTGCGGGATTTAGCATTGAGCCGCTTTGTGATTGCTCAACTAAAGTTGCTGAATGCAGGTGATGAAGTAGTCTACACAGTGTTACTACATGTTCAAGAGATAAGGACCAGCACCATTTGTTCATTCGTCTAGGTAGCTCATTAAGATGGCTCAGCTGCTAGGTAGACGGTTCCTTTTTTGTGAGATTAGGAGAATTGTGGGGGAGATCTGGAATGATTACACATCCGCGCGTGCCCCATTTTCGTTGTAAAGTCCCTGTTCAAAAACTGGACTTTTCCAGAGCGCTTTGAAGGTCAACTGGATGTTGCCGTGGATCCGTACCCTCACTAACTCCCTTTAGAGAACACCCTGTAGATTTGCTGCTGCATTTGAAGGGCTTAGGAGCCTGCAGAGTTGTGCCCAGCACTCTGATGTTCCGGAATTTCAACGACAGATGCTTAGAGGCACTCGTTACAGAGCATTCTGGTCATGGGGAGTTTCATGCGTGTCGAAAGATGCGGTGTATCCATCGGGTATTGATGCGCCTCATGCACATCTACAGATCATGACCAACCAGTGGATATCCACAGCCCAACATGTTACCATGACCAGACACTGTTGGCAGTACCCAATACATCCAACAGCCGGGTTTGCATGAGCAGTGTAGTAGGTTAGATGGCAAGGGCTGCCAAAGCCACAGCTTATCAGTTCATGCTCCCTACCCAGGCGCAGCAGGTCCAATAAAAAAGGCAGATTGTTGATACCACCACCTGAGCATTAACTACCCTGAAGCCCCAAACCCTTAACCCTGCATGGACGCTGCGATCACAATGCGTAAACCAAAGCATCCAAGCTCGCATGCCGGATGCAAAGCCGGAAGTCACGGCCCAGTTAAAAGGAACGAAGCTCGCCCCATCCAAACCAAAGAGGCCTCCACTTCAAGGGCGAAGTGATCCTCAAGGCGATCTTGTCCGAGTTGGAGTCCAAGGCCTCTGAGATTGATTCTGATGCTGAGGGCGGGGGGGGGGGGGGGGG